TTTGTCTTTTTGCAAGAAGCTTTAAAGATTTTTTTTTTTTTTTTAATTGGAATAAAAAATAATAGCTCTGTGCCAATTTGGGAATTTTTTTTTTTTTTTTGAACTATAATTGACAGTAACTACTACCCTGATATTGCTGGGTATAGAGCAGCTAAGGGAACTGGAAACAGTCAGAGCCTCGCACTGCATACTGAATGGACCTGTGGTTTACAGTAAACTGATGCTTTTGTAACAGTGTAAGATGATTCATGAATATTAAAAACCAATGAGAGTTCATGTAAATGCATGCTGAGATAGTTTCTTGAAAATGAACTGAAATTAAAGAAAATATTTACTAGCATGATGTATAAAACATTACACTCACTTTAATGTATAAAATGTTTTCCCAACTTAGTTACTGCAGAAATCAAGACCCAAAGTAGCACAAAGTTTATTTCCAATGTCTTTACTCCCCTTAGTGTGGCTAGGAATAATTCTGTATATATTTAGTTTCTTAAGAAAGGGAGACATGATCCAAACCCTGTAAACTCTTGGGTTCATCTTTTATACTGCTGAACAATTTGGTTCAAGAAGAAACTGGAGAAGATATGGGAAGAAATTGAGCCTGCAACAAGACATAAGAGGATCTTTTCCTCTGATTCCTGTGAGAAGCTCACTTAAGGAACTACTGGCTCTTATTTTATTTCTACTTCATATGAGAGATTTGGAAAGTTCATTATTCTTCCAGTTCCTCTGTCCTGTAAACCCAGAGAAAGCAACTTTTATCTGGAGGGAAAAAAAGAATTAAAATAAAGAATAATTAATTTTTTGTTTCTTTCTGAGGATGTATTTTTTTCTATTTAATTTAGCAAGGATGTTCTGGTTCTAACCAAGAACCAGACCATTTGGCCACCATGACCCGCTCATCAATGCTGCCTGCAGAGCCCCCACTGGCAACTGGTTCGTATCAAGTCCTCTCCATGGGTACAGAGGACAGTGCTTAGGAGCAACCATTTCATACCTCGGTACCTCCACAGCACTCATTCCAGATACCTTTATCCACTGCCAGCTATCAATAGCCAACACTAGTCTGAACAAGCATCTTTCTTAGCATCAGTTTACATCCTGGAACATACCCTTTTACTATTTACTACATCTATTTACTATATGTACTTATGGAGTAAGTATGTACGCTTACAGAGTTTGCACGCTGGAGCATATCCTTCTACTATTTACTACATATGCTTATCTCAGTGCAACAGTGGTGCTGAAGCACAGCTTGTACATCAGTTGCAGGTTGTGGATCCAACAGCTTGGTCTGCATTTGCTCTCATCACTTATGGGACAATACCAATTCAAAATCACAAGTCATAAACAGACATATTTACTTGCAGTTGCTAATAGCACTGTAGATAGAAATAAAGTACTTTTAAAAGCTCATTCATTTCTCTGCACTTAAATTGTCCATTTTTTCTTTTTTGTTCTTTTTTACTTCTTTCAGTGTAAGCAATGAAAATGTAAAAAGGTGTCCAAAGTTTTTTTTTTTATATTTATCTGCTTAAAAGCAACTTTAACAGGATTTATTTTTAGTCACCAAGTGCTCCTGAGGGTGCCAAGTCGGGTAAAAATCTTCCTTCAGTAACACGTAAATGTTTTCTGGATTTTGTCAGCTGTTTGAGATAAATGCTACCCGCCGATGGTCCTCATCAGCAGAATGCTGCGAGTGGCTTCCATTTGGACCAGGAAGGAAAATCACCTGCTGGCGCCGCTCTCTGTGAGCCACGCTTCTGTGTTAAAGGCACGGCTGAACGCGGTTTTACTACTTTTGATACGAATAAGCGCAGTTCTCAGCCTCCCGGCTTGTTCCTGATGCTCTCCCCAACGACGCCGAGCGACGTGGATGTGCCGCTGATAAAGCAGCGTTCAGCTCCAAAACGCCGGCTGCCTTTCAGCATGCCCAACTTTCGCTTCCCAGCCCTGAGCTCCCCTTCGCCGCCGGCTGCCGTGGGACGCGCGGCCGCGGGAGCGGGGCAGCGCGGCCCGGAGGGCGAGCCCGGGTCCCGCACGGACACCGCGGGCAGGGAGCGCGGTTGCTCCGGCTCCGCACGGGCGCTTCCCCCGCGCAGCCGCCCGGCTCCGCGGCAGCGCCGGCGCGGCCGGCAGCGCGCACGGCGTGCCCGGGAGCCCCCGCCCCGCCGCCGCCCCGGCCCGCGGAGCCCGCCCGCGCCCCGGCCCGCGGCGCTGGCGGCGGGGGGCGCCCGCGGGCGGCGGCGGGAGCGCGGGCGCGGGGGTGGCCGAGCGGCGGCGGCGCGAACGCGGCCGCAGAGCCCCAGCGAGCCGCGGGAGCGCCGCGCCCGCCGCAGCCGCCGGAGCCGGGCGAGGAGCGAGCGCGGCCGGCCGGAGCCGCCCGGAGCCGCCGGGAGCAGGCTCGGGCCGCGGCAGCCCCGCGGGGAGGCAGCGAGGGGCCCCTCGCCGAAAGCGCGAACACCCCCCACACCCCCGCCCCGCCGCCTCCGCCCGCCCCCAGCGAAGAGAAACAAAACACAACCCCGGCACCGCCACGCTCTCCCTCCTTCTCCTCTCGGCATTTGGTGGTTGTTTTTTGGGGTTTTTTAAAATTTATTTTTTCTTTTCTTTTTTTTTTTTTTTTTTTTTTTTTTTTTTTTTTTCTTTTTTTTTTTTTTTTTTTTTTTTTTTTTTTATTTTTTTTACTGGGGATTCTCCTCTCTCCTGCCAGACTGACTTATACGTTCTTGATAATTTCTCTTCCCCTCATTTTTTATACTCTTCTCCCTGCTTCCAAACCCTGTGTCTGTGTGTTTCAATACTATCACAACCTCTGCTAAATATAGATCTTTTTATACCCTTCCTCCTCTCTGACCCCATCCAACACCCCTTGTTAAGGTGAGTTGTGTCTTTTCATCACTTTTTTC